GAGGGGGGAGGGAGAGAGAGAAGGTTGGGAGAGAGAGAGAGAGAGGGAGGGAAGGGAGAAGAGGGAGGGAGGGAAGGGAGAAGAGGGAGGGAGAGAGGGAGAAAGGGAGAAAGGGAGGAAGGGAGAAAGAGAGAGAGAGAGAGAGAGAGAGAGNAGGAGAAGAGAGAAGAGGGGAAGAAGGAAGAGGTGGAGGAGAGACGAGAAGGTTGGGAGAGGGGGAGAGAGGGGAGGGAAAGGCTGAGGAGAGGGAGGAGGAGGGAAAGGAGACGGAAGAGAGGAGAGAGAGAGAGAGAGAGAGAAGAGAGAGGAGATGAGCGAGAGAGAAGCAGCGAGAATAGACGAGAGAAGGAGGGATAGGAAAAAGAGGAGAGAGGGAGAAGACGAGAGAGGAGAGGGGAGAGGGGGAGGGAGAGTGAGGGAGGGAGGGAGAGGAGAGAGAGAGAGAGAGAAGAAGAGAAGAGAGAGAGAGAGAGAAGAGAGTAGAGAGAGAGAGAGAGAGAGAGAGAGAGAGAGAGAGAGAGCAGAGAGGAGAGAGAGAGAGAGAGGCGAGAAGAAGAGGTAATAAAAAAGGAAGAAAAAAAAGTGGTACGTGTGTGTGTGTATATGTATGTGTGTGTGTGTTATATATGTACGTGTGTGTGTGTATATATATGTACGTGGTGTTGTGTGTGCGTTTGTCCGTGCTGTATATCTTAATTAAAATTCATTCCTTAAACCTTATCGTTAATTTTCAAATATCAAAACCGTTCGAAATAAAACAATTATATACAAAAATTTTTCACATCTTTCCTTTACCAAACCATATAATTACCGATCGTATAAGTGACCTGTAAATCTGTTATATTTGATATCTTTATGAAGGAAAAAAAATGGATTTTCTTCGTGCGTTAGGTTAGCCATGGTCGCTTCTCTCTATCTTTCTATCTATCTTTTTATTTTTATTTTTATCTTTTTTTTATTTCTTATTTTCTTGTCTTTTTTTGGAGGGGGGGGTAAGATAGGATGAGGAGAGGGAGAAGGAGAGAGGAAGGGAGGAGGACGAGAGAGGAGAGAGGAGGAGAGGAGAGAGAGGAGAAGAGAGAGAGAGGAGAGAGAGAGAGAGGAGAGAGAGACTGATGAGAGAGAGAGAGAGAGAGAGAGAGAGAGAGAGAGAGAGAGAGAGAGAGGAGAGAGAAGAGAGAGAGAGGAGAGAGAAGAGGAGAGACAGAACAGACAGAGACAGACAGACAGACAGACAAAGCAGACATACAAGACAGAGGACAGAAATAGAGAAAGAAAGAAGAGACGAAAAGAGAAAAGAAACAGAAACTGGAAAGAAAAAGAGAAAGAGACACAGAAAAAAAAGAGAACAGAAAGAAAAGAAAAAGAAACAAACAGACAGACACAGAAAAAGAAAAGAGAAAGAAACAAAAAAAAGAAATAGAAAGAAACAGACAGAAACAAACAGACAGACACAGAAACAAACCCGAAACTAAACAAATTTTCCCTTTCCCTCCCCAACCACCTGAAACCAATAAGGGAACGACCAACACCACAAGGTTAACCATTCACCCATTCATACACACGCAAAAAAAAATTAAAAGAGAAAACAGCATGGACGAAGGGAGAGAGAGAGAGAGAGAGAGAAAGAAAAAAAAAAGAGCATGCAAACAGTAAGACTCGATCACCTTGGGAGGAGACATTTATCATGTACTCTTAGCGAGGGAGAAGGGATCAGAACCTTTTTAATCGGCTTCGATTCTCTTTCTCCCTCGGTTTCGCGGACGGATAGTTCGGATCCGTCACTGATGGTGTGACTTTGGGTACAGATAATGAGCGTCAAGGTAGGGGTGTTTTTCTTTTGTTTTTATTTGTCTCTCGCTCTCTCTGTCGTTGATTTTATCTTTATATTTATCTTTAACGCTTTATCTCTTTCTCTTTCTCCTCTCTTTCTTTCTCTCTCTCTTTGTCTCTCTCTCTCTCTCTCTCTCTCTCTCTCTCTCTCTCTCTCTCTCTCTCTCTCTCTCTCTCTCTCTCTCTCTCTCTCTCTCTCTCTCTCTCTCTCTCTCTCTCTCTCTCTCTCTCTCTTTTTTTTGGGAGGGCAGTTTACCCTATTATTCTCTTCGATGTAACTTTTTTTTTCTTTTTCCTTAATCTAATTTCGTAACCATCCAAGGATATGCACGAATATAATATATTATACTCAGATACCGCTCGTGACGAGATTAACCCCCTTTCACAAAAATCCTAAAATATCACACGCATCGACAGAACAACAACCACGAAAACAACACCAGCAACAACAACCAACATCAACGATTATACCAAAACCTTCAAAAAAAAGAGGAACGACAAGGCAACGCAAACAATTGAACGGAACAAAAGACTTTTACTCTTTGCAACATGGCGCCCGGGTCGTGATCTCGGGCGCGTCAGCTGATTGGTCGGGGGGGGGGGAGGGGGGGAGGGAGGCTTGTCGAGCACTTTTGTCATGGTCCTTTTTTTTCTTATTTTTTGTTGTCATGGTCATTTTTGTTTCGTTATTAGATAATAAAAAAATTGTTTGGATGTCTTGATTATGATGTTGGTTTATTTATTTCGTTTCGGTATTATTTATTTTTTTTTTTCGATTCGGGATTATATTATATTTTTTTGTTTGTGTTTGGTTAGGTCATCTTTTTGTTGTTGTTTTTTATTAATTCGTTATTATCGTTTTGTCGAAAATAAATACCATGATGGCATTAGAACATGAATTATTACCAGTCAAGGCTTATTCAAAATCTTTATGTCATATAAAATGCGTAAATATCGTTATTCTGTTTATTTATTTCATTATTCTATTCCTATTATTTGTCCTTCTTAAACACTGAAAAATGATTTTTAAAAATACGAAGTGAGATGTGAAATTTAAACCCAAATAATACAGGATTCGATTCTGTAAGCAATCAAAGCGCTTATACGTAATCGCATCAACAATAACTTCCTTCACTTATATAAAAAAAGAAAATAAAAAAATCAAAGTCATCTTTTATCAATAGCTATTCAAAACCTCGCTTCAATAAGTTCAATGAGCGGCGTCTTTCCCTTCCGGCAACCCCGAGTGGAATCGAATGCCATCTTGAAGGTCTTATAAGAAAAAAAGAGCATCGCAAACCGCCAAAGAAAGAGATCGAATCCCCTTTGGCGCCTCACCTCCTGGAAATGTCAAATATCGGCCATGTTTCTCTTAAACGTATATTTAATGACAGACAACCCTTAATTACCGGTTAAATATAGGAAAAAAATATAAATTAGGAAGTTCTGAACCACGTGAATGCCTTTAGGGTGTTATTATGAGAACTATTTTAACGGTCGAGAGTGCCTTAGGGGGAGAAGGGGGGGGGGAGAGGAAGGAGAGAGAGAGGGAGGAGAGGAAGAGGAAGGATAAAGAGAGGAAAAGAAGATAGAGAAGGAGGAGGTGGAAGGAAGAGGAAGAGGATGGAGAAGAAGAAGAAGAGGAGAGAGGAAAAGGATAGGAGAAGTAGAGAAAAAAAGGAGCAGAAGAAGAAGAGAGAGGAGACAGAGAAGAAAGAGGAGCTGGAGAGAAGGAGAACGGAAGAAAAGAAATAGGAGACAGAGAAGGGGAAAGAGGAGCTGGAGAGAGAAGGAGAAACGGAAGAAGAGAAATAGGAGACAGAGAAGGGGAAAGAGGAGCTGGAGAGAGAAGGAGAAGCGGAAGAAGAGAAATAGAAGGAGACAGACAGAGAAGGGGAAAGAGGAGCTGGAGAGAGAGGAGAAACGGAAGAAGAGAAATAGAAGGAGACAGAAAGGGGAAAAGGAGAGAGAAGGAGAAACGGAAGAAGAGAAATAGAAGGAGACAGAGAAGGGGAAAGAGAGGGGGGGAGGGAGGGGGGGGGGTTATACAAAGGTTAGGTTGCTGAGGCCGTCGGCGAGGACGGGCGCGTTGCTCAGGGCGTGGAACGGCGGCTTCTCATTTCCTTTGGCGGGTTTCTCCCCTTTCGTTCGCGTTCCGTCTCTCTCTTTGTTTCTTTTTTCTTTCTTTCTTTCTTTTTTTTCTTTCTTTTTTTAGCTTCTTTCTTTCTCCGTTTCTCTCTGTTTCTCTTTCTCTCTCTCTCTCTCTCTCTTTCTCCGTTTCTTTTCTCTCTCTCTCTCTCTCTCTCTCTCTCTTCTCTTTTCTGTCTCTCTCTCTCTCTCTCTCTCTCTCTCTCTCTCTCTCTCTCTCTCTCTCTCTCTCCTCTCTCTCTCTCTCTCTCTCTCTCTCTCTCTCTCTCTCTCTCTCTCTCTCTCTCTCTCTCTCTCTCTCTCTCGTCGAAAGGGTTAACATGATTTCGTGGTTTCACGGCTTTTAGATTTGCTCAAGCTTAGTAACCGCAATTTTCTATTACCTTGTGTGTGTTTTTTTTTTTTTTTTTCTTTTTTTTTTTTCGTTCTTGCTTTTTGTTGCTTTGTCATGCCGTTAACGAGGTTTTCTTGGACATCATCGGGATATTTTTTCTTTCTTTCTTTATCTTGCGGTTACAAAGGATTAAATCCTCTTTGAAGGAAAACAGGACGCACTTTTTAACGGAAATATATTGCAGTATCACGGGGGATCTATCCTACAAATGGTGCGAAGATGCAACTTTGAATAAAAGCAAGCTCATGCAACTTTTAATACTTCCTCGTTGAAAAAAGGAAATAATAATTAAAAAAAATAGTATGACCTTTAGTCCTCAAGGAAAAGAAAATGGATACACGCCCTCTTGATCGAAAGAAAACGGAAATACTATCTCTTCTCTAGAATGAAAGAAAATGGGAATAATACTTGTACGAAAGAAACGAAAACTCTCTTTTTATACCAAAGAAAATGGGTATAAGCCTTCTCTTGGTCGAAAGAAAACGGATATAGCCCCCCTTCGTTAACCCAAAGAAAACCGAAAAACTGTTTCTTTATACTGAACCAAAGAAAACGGAAATATCCATCTTCCCTACAATCAAAGAAAACGGAAACATTCCCTCTTCTTTAAACCAAAGAAAACGGA